TTTATATTTATTTGAAATACTTTTTCTGACAGCATATTTTTGGGTGTTGACTTTGACAGAGTCAAAATTGAATTAATTGATATGTAATTAAAATTAGTCTCATATTCAATCAATATTATTAAATATAAATATTTATTTCAATAAATCATTTTACAAAAGTTCACATCTTTGACTTTTTCTCATTTTTATACAAATTACATATTTAAAATGTCATAACTGAACCTCTGTACATCAGACTTATTCATAAAATATACCGTTGGATTCGTCTCTTCGAGACCTATCCATAAAAGTCAATCTTAACAAAAATCATTGACTCCAAAAATTCCTTCATTTTTGGTCAAACATAGAAATAATGCTTTGTTGAGTGAAAATATGGTTTCTAAAAATACTTTTATAATAGAATAACTTTTAGACCATGTTTTGGGGCGTTACATGACCGGACAACCTTGGAGGAAAGATGACCGGTAAGGTTGCGTCACTTGGGAATGACAATCAACATCAAAGGCCAGGGGACCACCCCGCCGTTCGGCCTTCACGAGGCAAATAGTGAAAGGAACATTTGTCTTTTTGCAGGGTTGATTGGATTGAGAATATCTATTTATAGTCTTTGATTGAACAGTACTTGTCTTGGCTTGTAGTTGCTAAATTCATTGATTGAATAGTAGGTTGATTATGTACAGTGACCTTCCCACGGGCTTCTTATTTTGTCCATGGATGAACAGGGGAAGGTCACAAATCTTCCTCTATAAATATGATGATATTTGATAGAGGGGGGATCCAATTTTTCTCTCACTAAAGTTCACTCTTGAGATAGAGTAAGAAATATAATTCGGACTGAGGAGATTTACCCGGTCTAGGTCATACTTCGTGTTCTTGTTATGTGTTTTATATTACGAGTCGAGTGTGTCCAGGTCATACCCAGTTAACCCACCCCGCTATATTTACACCATCAACTACGTATAAAAAAACTGATGTAACACTGAATTGGAAATGAGGTGGGAGTGAACAAATATGACCCCACCACGCGGCACCAGGGCCAAATGCCCTTAAATTATCCTGTGCGGATAATTGTGCTGACATGTCTCCTCTCATACCTCAATGGCCTTCGCTACACTCAAATGGGAGAAAAGGCAAATATTTAGGGGATGATGAATTAACTCTGATACTTCAATTCTAGAGACATCAAACTCCTGGCACATTCTTTCATGAGATAGCAAAAAAGGCAAAAATGTTTGCTTTCATGAGAGAGATTTGAGAAAGGTTGTGATATAGAGATCATCAAACGCTCTTGTTCTCGTTGAATTTCCTCCCGATTCGCACTGACGATGCCGCTTTTACTGCGGCGATGCGCGCTGATAGCTGGTAACGGGAATGGTGGATCGCCGGGAATGTTAGGGTTTAGGAGAGGCCTGGCGACGACTTGCAGGGCGGTGCTTCTGCCTCAATTCGGCGGTCCCCACGTGCTCGAGCTTCATGACAATGTCAGCGTTCCCAATCTCAAACCCAATCAAGTGCTCGTTCGCACTCGCGCTGTGTCCATCAACCCACTGGACACTAGAGTCGGTTCAATTTCTCACGCTTTCCCCCTCCCATGTTTTACTTTAGCTTGATTGGTTACAAAAGGATTGCCTTGTTTACTGGATTATTTTAGGCATTGAAAGTTTGATACAATAGGACACTGGGCTGGTGCAAGTTTTGTTGGTTTTATATATTGGTTGCTTAATCAGTAGGACAAACAAAAACTCTTAGTACTCATGTTTTGGTTGTTAACAAATTTTGGTTGTTTTTAAGTTGTGAAAATGGAAACAATTTTGTATAAATGTTGTCGTCCATTTTACTTTTGTTTCTATAGTTTTGAGGGTCCTTTATTGTGTCCAGAAGAGATAAAAATGTGATTTTGCAAATGGTACACAAATTGAGCATGTAAAATTTCAGTACTAGATTTAGGATTCTGATTCCTTAAAAGCCATCTAAACTTGCATGTGTTGATGTTATTAGCAATTAGCAAATAACATTGTTGTTTTCATTGTATTTACTTTTCAGTTGTTCTTTCTGTGCATTTCTAAGCATCATGTATGTAGTACCATATTTGATATTCTCTCATCTCTTTAGAACAAGTCTTAATTGATAGTGAATTAGTTATTGGGATATATACTTTTGTAATTTCAAATATTTTACATTAGATCTTTTTTCCAGATGCGGTCAGGTTATGGCCGTTCAATTTTTGAACCACTTCTGCCATTGATTCTGGGGCGTGATGTCAGCGGAAAAGTTGCAGCGGTTGGAAATTCTGTACGCTCTCTAGTTGTTGGGCAAGAAGTATTTGGTGCTCTTCATCCAACTGCCGTGAGGGGTACTTACACTGACTATGCTATCCTCGATGAAGATGAACTTGCTCCAAAACCGGCTTCTCTTTCACATGTGGTATGTCTTCAGAGTTAGAAAGGGGATACTGTTTATGATACTTGGTATAGTTATCCCCCTCATGCATCCACATAATCTTTGGCCTTTGACCATTTCTGTTTCTTTCATTTCTCATGAAAAGTGCACAATCTTTCCCCTCCCAGCCATGTGTTGTACAAATGTCGTAGTGGTGCATATTGTAACATAAATTTATTTTTTCTTTCAATAGAACTTTACTTAAATTTTTAAAATATGAATTCAGGAATTTCGGGCACATATCTATTACTTCGTAGTCATTAATTACTCTCTACCTCAGATGACGTAGTTTGGAATGGCTCATAGCGATCAATATGTTGCTAGAAGGACATACTCATCTGTATCCAGCATACATTGTATGATATTTCAATATACCGTGTCCATGAAACTCTTTGCGATAATTTAAGTTATTCAATTTTTGACTATTCCATTATCATTTTCTTTCTCTTCCTCCTGGAGGTATCTAGTCACTTTAGCAAAATAATATGCTTTAACTTCCTTCAGGAAGCTAGTGCTATTCCTTTTGCTGCTCTAACTGCTTGGCGTGCTTTAAGAAGTACTGCAAGGATTACGGAGGGGTATGCATTTTTTTCATCCGGTGCATTATTTTTCATGACTAAAATATTAAAAACTGGGTTTCCCTGTCATAGTACTAACATTTGCATATTGTTTGGTAGTTTACATCAATTATAAAAGCAGTTCTTTTAGTGTTGTAGCCATGAATAAATTAATGCACCTGCATATTGTTTTCAAGAGATTGCACTATTACACCAAAAAAATGTTGCGCCCTCCCTTTCTAAGTTAACTTAACACTTTTACTTCACGTAGTTTAAGAAAAGTGTTGAAAAGTGAAGTGTATCGCTGAAATTTATTTGGAAGAGAGAAATAAAGTTGTTCGCATATTTATTTCCAAAAAGAAAAAGTGGAAAAGCACAGTTAATTTTTGGACATCCAAAGATGGAAAGAGTAATGTTGATTTGAGGATAGAGTGAGTATTTTACATGTTCGGCATTTGCAAGGAATGTTGATTGGAAATAGGAACATACTATCAATTTTGAAATTTAATAAAAGGAGCATGATGAAGCCATCATTTTATTGACATTATTGCTTTTCTGTGCAAATATTTGAAGTCAACGGGTCTTGGTGATTGGTGGTGGAGGAGCAGTGGGGTTTTCTGCCATTCAACTTTCAGTTGCTGCAGGCTGTTCTGTATCTACCACTTGTGGAGGTGATAGTATTGATCGCATTTTGGCTACTGGCGCTGAGCAGGCAGTGGATTATACTACTGAGGTACGTACATGTATTTGTGATTTGTATGAATCTACATGCTGCCACATCATTGTAACTTCCTGGTTTTGGTATGTGGTTTTCTCTCCCACTTTAATTTACTTTTTTTTTTGTGAGTAATGTGTCTTTTTCATTTCAGGATATTGAAGTAGCTATAAAGGGGCACTTTGATGCAGTTTTGGATACAATTGGTGGTTCAGAGACGGAAAGGATCGGCATCAATTTTCTGAAGAAGGGTGGACACTATATGACACTTCAGGTAACAAACTCTGCCAAACCCGTCCCTTTCCTGCAGAATCGAGAAGAAAACATCTTCATTTCCCTTGATATGTTAATCTTCCTAATTTAGGGAGAGGCTGCATCATTAACTGATAGGTATGGACTAACTATCGGCCTTCCTATGGCAACTGCTATCTTGCTGAAGAAACAGATCCAATATCGATTTTCTCACGGAATAGGTACATAACGTTCTTTCTACATATTCTGACCACGTCTGTGTATCATGGATGAATCTGCTTTGGTATTATCAGGACATAAACACGATGCTTCATGAAAAGAAAGAACCACTATGTCCACTCATAGACGTTTTAAAATTTGATATGGGCAGAATACTGGTGGACTTACATGAGGGCTGATGCTGAGGGTTTAGATGAGATCCGGAGGCTATCTGAAGCGGGGAAGCTCATAGTACCGGTTGACGAAACTTTTCCTATGACTCGAATTCAAGATGCCCATCACGCCAAGGATAAAGGGGAAATTCCTGGAAAGGTTGTACTGGAAGTAGACTAGACGAACTCAATGAGTCATGAGCTGCAAACTTAAACCCTCTTTTTTTTCATATTGGTTTTCAAAAGCGTTTGATGTTACAACCTGGTTGATACTTGACTATAGAACAACAACATCAACTTCCATGTGTAAAATAATGTAAATCTTGAAATGCTGTTCGGTTTTGTATCTTTTTTATTTACGCGTAAACAGTATTTCACAAAAATAAAGGCACACGTCAGTAGAATTCAGTCATTTCTCATAGAGATTAGTAGTTGATAGTAGTAAACTCATGTTTCTGAGAGTCTTCGAAACAAAACCCCTTGTTGCCTGGTAAGTTGTTTGCCGGCTTATGCTTTAGGGATCCATTTCTTTCGGTACCCCTTGTTAATATCTTCATTGCAGTTCCTCCCTTCTGTTGAGTAAGAAAATATTTGTAACTTTATTCCCTCAATTTTCAGTATTTTTAGGATACTTTATATGCATTTATATATTTTTTAGTTCTCAGTATTTTTAGGATAATTTATTTATATGCATTTTATTCCCCCTTTATATACTTTTTAATTTAACTGCATTTATTTAATAGAAAATCAATCTTCATTGTTTATTCTGGGGTTAAATGACAAGAGTATTTATTTGTTAAAAACTAATTTTTTTATTGATTCTATAATTAATTATTGATGTAGCAAACTATGGACTTTTTAAAATCTAAACAAATCCGGATAATAAAATAAATTAAAATCTATCCAAGTCCACGTAGAATTCAAAGAATCCATAGATTTCTCACAATCCATTAATTACGAAAAATCTAATACAATCTTTTAAAATTTGATTGAATACACTCCCTAAGTAAATACTTTTACTGTTTTACAATCTTATGATAAACACTTATTCATTAAATTGTTACATAAATCTAAGATTTATTATAGGAACAATCATTATTCACACGTTGTAGAACATTAAATATTAAATTAATTCAGATAATAAGATTAATAACTTTGCTATTAGGATTCGTTTAGAAATGAAAATTAGTGTTATTATATTGGTCTTAAGAGCACTAGAAATACGTATGAAGTCCCAAGGCTTCAAATCGGGACTTCAAAGTTTCTCTCTCTGTCACGTCAACTTTAACTTACCTCACATATTCACTGGAAATGGGTTTGAAGTCCTGGGGCTTCAAACCTTTATTTTTTACATTTTAGATAAACATCATATTAATTATTTAATTAAATTGAAACGAGAATAATTCATAAAAAAATTACATTCATTAAATTAAAAAAATTAAAACAAAAACAATTCATAAAAAATACATTCAATTAAAAAAGAATATTTAACAAAAAAATACATTAATAAAAAAACTAAGGTAAATTATATTAAGCCTTGATCTCTTTTTGTCTTATCTCGAAGATCATGCGTTTGAAGCCCGATAACGTATGAATGTCAGTTTTCATTATTTCGATCTCTTCCTTTTGTTGCTTTCTTCTCTCCCTCTCTTCTTCTCTAATATTGAACACCCGAAGTTGTTCAACCATTGCCTGACCGATATCGTTGTGAGAAGAAACAGAAACAGAGCCGGACCCTCCTGAACCCGAGGCAATGATTTTGCCTTCTTTCTTCCGATCGGCCACGAAATGGGGTCCTCGTCATCAAAATTGTCTACGTTGAAGGGATGCCTTTGTTCGGACAAACCAATAGTGTCATCGACCTCAACCTCGGCATCGATGAAGGATCTTTTCTTTGAGGATCCGCCATCAGGATTGTTGAGTTGTTGCCATTTCAGTGAACGGATTAAAATGTTGGACACGATTTTGTTATGTGGCCTGAGTTAGCATTTATCTAATTAATTGATCATTGACCTAATAAATACCCTACGTATTTAATTGGTAATTATTCGATGGACGTAATTGCCCTTATGACCTAATTAGGGTTTCCCCTTGGGTGTATATATAGAGGTCATTAGGCAGAGATTAGAACACACCAATCTTACGCCTCCTCTCTGCCTCTCTATTCTCGTGAGTCCCATCCTCACCTTAGCCATCATAACGATACACCCTAAACAGGAACTCAATCAGCATCAGCAACATGGCCTCATCCCTAACTACGTTTACAGGATTATCAGGTACACATGATTTATTTCCTGATTATATTTTATGTTTAAGAATTGATCAACATGTGGTATCGGAGCGTATATGTTATTTATTCAATTTTTCCGTTTCCCTAAAACTGGAATTGAAATCGCATCAGTTTTTTTTATACCTAACGTAAATTGGTTTTGAGCTTCATGATTTCCATAATAAACATTAAGAAAAAAAATGTTGTTTACATCTCAAAATCGGACTAAGCCCTCAAAATCATTTGTTTTTTTTATACTTTGGATTCCATTCGAGTGAGTTAAAAAAAACCTATTGCTTAATGTTTTTGATTCGAGCAAATACGCATAAATAGATTATTCATGTTATTATTCATCCTTACTTTGATGAAATCATCTTTTTTGGTATTTGATTTGGAACATAATTCTGTTTCCTTAAATTTTTTGGCATATCTCACTTTTGCATAATATATTCTGTTTCCTTATTTATTAATTTATCTTACCAAGAATAGCAAAACTAAGTAAGGGATATGCTAAAATACCATAAAAAAATTAATTTTATTTTACTTGTTGGAAAATCTCTTGCCTTATATGCCTTTTGACTTTCTAATTAAAATTATTTTTTATGGGTCCCCAATTTTTCGTAGCCCCGCCCCGAACCGCTTTAACTTTTGCGGTTAATTAAATTTATAAATCATTTGACTAATTTAAATAAAATTTATTTTATGATTAGTTAAATTGATTTATTTTGCTTGATTTGAATAATGCCTTAGAATACACCTCGCCCAAAGGTGATGTGTAACATTTGTAAAATTTATTTCAAGTCTTACTAAGCATTGTCATTTAGTACGTATCTTTAAGTAGATATTTACATGGCACTCGCCTTAGATACATAATGTTTCACTTTTGTCCAAAGATGATGTGTTATAATTGTGTACTGCGAACTAAATATATATGTGCATTAGAATTTAAATGTTTCACTTCTGCCCAAAGGTGATGTGTTACATTCAAATTGCACATCATTATTTTATTATTCATAATGCTTAAACAAGTAGTTATAACCAAAGTGAAAGCCACTTGTTTGAGTAGAATTAAATTTAGTCTATTATTTTTGGTGTTATAATAGACTCTTATCACAGCTTCATTATTATATAATGGTCCTTATCTTCGCCAGCCTTAGTTCATTACCCCTTAAGTTCTTCTTTAATTATGTGTCTTATTTCTCTCATCTGAATCCACTATCAGCCCTAAATATGGGAATTGAAACCTTGAACGGTGCAAATTTTTCTTCATGGAAAGATTCACTGATGCTAACTCTTGGCATGTTGGATTTTGATTATGCATTGAGAGAGCCTGTAACACCCCAACCCGCATGACCCAAACCCGTGAGACAGCGGACCGGTGTGCCACTGGATTGGTATCCGAATTTGCGACATTTTCAAAACAATTTTAAACAAACGTTCTTTCAATACATATAAAAATCCATCGGAGTAATTTAAAATAATGCGGAAGCCTTTTTAAAGTCAAACAACTTGGGATCTTGCCCGAAAACGTAATAAGCATTAAAGTTAATTAAATAAAGCATAATCAACATATTAAAGAGACAGCCACGCCATCGTACATCTCCTCCTCAATGCCCTCTGGGATCGGCTCTAGGTTCATCTGTCTGATCACCTACGGACAGCAAAAAGAAAAACAACGCTATCCGCTCAGCATTGACGCTGAGTGGTACTCCATTGTAGCACAAGAATAAACATAATAATTCAA